TAACATGGCTGACTAGGGCCCAAGACCTTCACTGATTTATAGTTGGTTAGTTCCTCATGCTCTGCTTAGCAATCTGAAACCTTGATTAGCTTGATGTTTTTTGAAAAGGGGATGGGAGTGGGGCAAAATCTTGGGGTGGGAGTCACCATCGGTGATGACAGCCAAACCCGAAGGTAAAAGAGCATATAAAGAAGGCACAGGTCTGCAAGGACTTGCCATCGGAAATAAGACTAAAATGAGAACACGTGTACGTGAGTGCATATGCACGCACACACACACACCTGCCTCTTCCTGGCTTTTCATTCAAGGTTTCTAAAGATAAGATGACCTCATTTCATAACCCAGTTTGAACCAATCCTGCATGAAGACTCTGTTTCCCTAATCTTGTCCCTGACCCAAACAGTGATGCAGTGCACTAACTGTGTTATGTTTCCACCTGCCTAGGAGAAAGCACTTCTTTTCTTAGCATTGTCAACTAGAGGAAAGGAAAGGTGGTTTGCATTTAGCATCTGACTTGGTTTGTGTTGACGTTCTCATTTCCGAAGCTCTTGGGACTGGAGGAAATTTTCCAGTGAGCGAGGAGAAAGTGAATTGAAATCAAGGTTTAAAACCAATGTGCCCTCTAAGAAAGACCAGGGTGGTTGTTCCACCATTGCTTTGAGAGTTGTTTTAGGCAGTGCAATGGGCCAAAACAAATTACAAAACAGTGGAGACAGAATGGAGACCTGCCTCCTATGCTCTCTACTGTAATATTAAAAACAGGGAAGAAATCTCCAGGTCCAAATTAAGTCCCCATTGCAGGAGAGGCATGTGACATTTAAGAGAAGACACGTATTATCTGTGCAACAGACACATTTCTAAATGGGCTAACTCACTCATTTAGAAACTTGGATTCCAGCCCAGGAGATGAGAATATTTTTTCCTTCTTTAAGTATTACTCCCTTTCTAGCAATTTAGCTTGTTTTCCCCGAAACTGGCTTGGCTGACATGCATGGCACAGCATCAGAGGCAGCAGCCCCTGCAAGTTGTCACCATGAAGGTAAAGAGAAGATGCCACTGGGATGAATGGGAAGATGAAACAACTGTGTGTGCTTTAAGATTTAACACGATACACTGTATTAGCAAGGAAATTTAAAAAGAGTTACTTGGGCTTCAAATAGCATAAATCTATTTATTTTCCAAGCAGGCTTTTGATTCATGTCTACGAAGCCTTTCAGGAACTGGAGATTATTTGAATGCCTGTTGACTCCCACTGAAATGTCCCCTTCTTGCTGATTGAGCAAAAAAGCCGTAATCAATTAGTTCTCTGACATAAGTAGCCAGACAATTACCAGGCCTATGATGCTGTGCCCTCCCCTGTAAAGAAGAAAAAACAAACAGAAGACATTGTCGTTCCCTTCAAGGAGCCTGAAAGCTAACTGAGAATCTAGAAAGACAACCAAAAAACACTAATTTGGCTCTAAGGTTTGTAAGAAAGCCCTGTGCACAGGCAAGAGAAATGCTGGCAAAGAGTCATCACGGAAATGAGACTGTGTGGGGCAGAGAATCCAAAAGTCATAACAAACCATTTGAGTAAATCACAGCAGGAGAGAAGTTGTTGGACTTTGAGGAACAGACTAAAAATAAAAGAGAGATAGTATATATCACTAAGCAGGAAAATGAGACTATGAAAATGGAATACTTGAAGGAAATTATTAAGTTGGTGTACCCAAAGCATAAAAACTGACTTCTGCAATAGTATACTCCTGGCCAAAATACACAAGCGCCCACCACCTGGCTCACTAAATCAGTGCTCACCTGTGTTTCAGCCTCTGCTAAGCAGGCCACTCCTCAAAGCCTTTTGCCAAAGGATATTTAGGAAACAACTGTGCCCCATCAGATGACTTTGGCACATATACTAGAGTCAGAAAGGGGCCCTCCAGGATTCCACAATAAGTAGAAAATCGGGGACCAAGATCCTAATTCCAGGTTTACTCTGACTTGCCTTGCAACTCCAGACACGCCATGAACAGTATGTGTTTTCTCACTGGTGAAATGAGAAGAGGAAAGGTGACGTAAGTCAGGGGGTCACAGTACTATAGGCCTTTGAGATGACATTCTTCCTTCTGAGCTAAAGAGAATTTCAACAGAGAGTCAAGAGCGGGGAAGGGGAACAAGGTGACTCTTGTCAGCCCTGCTCAGCCCCTAGGAGCATCACTTAGCACTATTGGGACCCTTGACCTCATCAAAGCTAAGGAATTGGAGTTCCTCCTTTTTTTTATTTTATTTTTTAAATTCTTGCCACCCTCCTCCTCATTTGGGAGACTCTTAAGAGCCTCCAAGCAAAATCAGTGCTCAATAAATGGTTACCATGAATAAGTAAAGATTGATCATTTTAATACATTTCATCCAGAAGAATGGGTTGACAGAGGGAGATAAGTAGTCACACTGCTTTCCCACAGAGAAGCAGACAGGGGGTGGGATAAAGGGAACAGGAGAGCGAGGTCAAGCCAAAGGACTGGGCTGACACTTTACGCAGAACTGGTTTAACTCCTCGAACAGATGGGCAAACTAAAGTGACACAAATGAAATTGGTGAAAAGCACATTTGTCAGGAAAAGCCAAAAATTTTGAAGCAAGGGTGAGCCTTAGCAAAAAAGTCACTGAAATGTTTTTAACAATCTGCTTCTTCCTGTCTTCTGAGAAAAATGTTTTACCTGATTGCAATAAGGAATTGTAGGGTTGGTCACTGTTTGGCTTCCGTTAACAGTAATATTAGCCCATAATTACGGTGTTTTTCAGTAACATCTTATAACTCCTCACACATCAGATCTCTAAATAAGCCCTCAGCTGGAGTATCTTCAGACAAGGCTTTCGATTTTCCATCCATTGTTAAACATCCCAAAGTGTTTCCTGCCATGCCATGATTCCAACAAGCCACCATGGCAGGGTGCCCATGTCAAAGGAGAGGGAGGCACAGAGGACTTAGTTCCTATTTGCTCTTCCCCCACTATGTCCTGCAGCCTCCCATCACCAGCCAAAAATACCATTTTGATGAAATATTAGAGTACATATCTCTCTACAGGAATCAGAAAACAATACGTTCTAGTCAAGCTTCAGCTCAAGCAGGACACTTCTTTTTAAAAGCGTTTTCTGATAACCGTTTCCAACATCAGACAGGGTTGGAGCATCCTTCCTCACACTCCAGTGACTCTCTGTACTTCTAGGTGTCACCACCCTATATTTCAACTGTCGATTTCTTTTCTGCCCTCTGCATTCTAAGCTTCTTGAAGGCAGAAACCATATATTCCTCACCTCAAAGTCCTAAGGAATTGACACAGGTTCTAGAACAAAGCAGGTAATCAACAAATGTGTGATGGATAAATGAATGCATCAACTACTCTATTTCTTAAAAAATAAATATGCAGGCTACACAGTTTATAAAGAACTTTCACACTTACTGCCACATTGGATCCTAACAATACTCATGAAGTTCCTCTTAGGGAGAGGCCACATCTGTCCCCGTCTACAGACAAGGACACTGAGGCTGAAAGAAATCAAGTGACCTGACTAATGTCACACAACTGGCAGAGAAGGGAGTGAATGTATGTCTCCATCCACATGACTTAAACTATCTTCCATTAGCATCTTCCATTTCAAATAGGGTCCTGCTACTTTAGATCGCAGAATTGTTTGGGACATCGAGAACATGAAACTAACTTTTTTGGGTGCCTGATTCCTAACACACTCTCATCATTGGTCCATGCATGTTCCTCTTTGATTTTATCTGTTTGTTTATATACTTAATTATTTTAATTATGTAAACATTAGTATAAATATATTCCATACTCTATTATGGTTAAGAGTTTACTAAATAATTGTCCTGGGATAAAAGGAAACTCCAGGAGAGGAACATTCTTCCTGAACACAATTCAGTATGCTCAAGTGGTCTCTGAGCACTCTCAGGACTCCATCAAGGGAGAAGCTGCGTCTCAATTAGATCCGGTTTTTTGCCAGGTACTTCATAAATGCTGGCAGCCTGCATTGCTATATGTCCAAAATGTAAAATAAGAATGTTAATAAGTGTGTGCTTGGGAAAGAGGGAGAAATGTTATAAAATAAAAAAAGACATTAAACTGTGGCATATGTGCTAAAATTAAAATAAAATAAGAAAACAACTCCTCTCCTTTTCCCCACCCTGCCATGCTCTTTCATTTGGGAGAAGAACATCGGTTATCTCCTCTGCTCAAACTCAACTAAAAATACTAAACAAGATTCACCATCAAGACCAGACCGGCAGAATTTCAGAACAGCGCTTCTCTACCTTCATGCCATTCCTTATGGTCCTTCAGGAAGGGGCAAAGCCTTCTAGTCCACAGTTAGAGATGTCTTTGACCAAGAACTTGACTCACTGAAGACTCTCAATAAATGTGTCTAATTGACTCAAGAATTTCAGACTGCAATCTTCAGCTTAAATTATTAGTTTTTGTACAAGTCTATCAGCTCAAATGTTAAAATCAGCTAATACACACAACCCACTGATACAGGACCCATCTACCTTTGGGTGAGGGGAGGAAGGGTAGCCAATGGGAGGACACGAAGTGTCTGGAATGTAAAGTGAGGTCATCCTCTCTCAGGAAAAAAAAAAAAAAGCACCAAAAAAGAAAAGGTAGCTTGAGCTGAGGAAATCAAACTCTGATTCCATGATGTTGCTAAGGGTAAGCTCTATTCATCGTCAACTCGATAGGACCAAACAAAACACATGCATGGAGGTACTTTTCATCTCACAGCTGCAAATCCAAGCAGCAGGGCTTCAAATGATTCATGAAATTTTTATTTTAGTCTTCCACACTGACTTCATAGGAGTTGGAAAATGGAGCTACAGCTTGGGTATCTGAAGATGGGTCAGTCAGCAATATTGAAAATTATTAAATAAGTCTTACTCGTAACTATAGGAATCCTGAGGATGAGAAAGACACACATGCAACTGAATTATGTTTAAATGAAAACGCCGACACCTACACTCCAGTCCAGAGTCGCTCTGGGCTCCTTGGCTGGACCGTTTGCCACAGGAAGGCTGAGGGGATGCGCGGGAGCCAGGTGCTGCAGGCCTGCCCGGGAGATGGCTTTCCTGCAGCAAGAAGAAAAAAACACAAAGAAAAACCAACATCAGAAGGTAATACAGAGCTAAAAATTTCCTGTGGGGTGGAGATGATGCCTGGGTTTGTCTTCCACGTGTGAAAACCTTTGCAAATGTAACAGAATGTCTCTCTCTAAAGGGCATGGTGAAGGTAGAGCGTGGCAGGTCTCAAAAGACAGGAGGACTGAGGGGACCACCTTTGAACAATATTGCTTCAGGACCAGAAATTAAAATGTAAGCCCCTTTTCAGGGCAGAGAGCAGAATGCAGGTCTCTCTGTTTACAGAAAAGGATCTAGAGCTGAAGCAGTCACAATACTTGGACACTTTTAAAGCTGCCAGAGACCAAAAGCAAGAGAAGTAGGCTCCTGAGGTCTTCTATTGAAATTCCTCCATGTGCCAGCAAAGCTGGCTACAGCATCAAGTTCACTCTTGCTCGTCTCAAGAACATCCTCCCTTACCCTCGCAGAGGACTTCTACAGAGAGCTTGCTCGAGGTTCTAAATGGGAAAAAACTGACTGGTGTCTGCTAAGAAATTGTACATGCTGAAAGACCTTACCAAGATAGCTAACCAAGGTTCATGGTAAGAGAAAACTAAAACACGTTGGTTGGATTTTAGGTTTGTAGAACATAACAGAATTCAGGTCAGAAAGGAGGGAATGAATGAGAAGAGGTTGAGAAAGTCAGCCATGACCTCGGTCTGCAAAGATAAGAAATAAGAGGAGTTGCTTTTGCACGCTAATATGACCATTGCTGAGCCAAGAGGAGGGAGGAGAGATAAGAGCATAGTGGAGAGAATAAGAAGAGCAAGATAAAGGAAGAACGCAGGGCTCACCCAGGAGATCTTGGGGCATCATCATGAATAACAGAAGTTCACTTTTTGAACAGCTCCATCAAAAAATGTCAGACAAGTGTCTCAAGCTTAAATATGAGTGCTGATTCATGAACTAACTAAGCAGCTCCCTGGAAGCGGGAGGGGCTTTCCCTCTACAGGAGTGTCCACGTGTGCTCTGAGAACTACCTGAACTACAATCAGGTGGGTCTGGTGACTGCAGCTCTGAGTCCTGGATTGGTCTCAGGGTGAGGCCCAGGAGTCTGCATTTACACACACTCCCCAGGGCCTTCCTTCTGTGAGCGAGTTTTCAAACTGCTCTACGGGAGTGTGAAAGGATTTTAATCTGAAATGGAACCGAAGGACATGAAATGGAGAATCTCACACATGTGAACTCAGGAAAACGAAACTTAAGAACTGAGAGACTGACTTCCTCTAAATGCCTAATTTACAGAAGGCCAAAACTTACCCTCGACAATGAACAGCTGCCAAAAATCCCTTCCCATCTTCAAGCCAATGAACTTGCTGCTTGGACTATGAATAGACTCCCCTCTCTTTACGCTCCTTGCCCATTAAAACAGCTCTCCTCAAACCATCAATGGACTCACCTATAGCTTCCTACAGTTTGCACGTCCCAAATTGCAGTTATCTGCTATTCCCAAATAAACGCAATTTCTGGTATTTTGAGCTTGCCTCAGTTTGCCTCTTTATTTAGGTTGACAGGAGCAGGTATGTTTGGGTAGGTGGGGGAGCACTAACTTATCCAGGCCCATCCAAGGAAAGCATCAGTAACCTCACTATTCACTTTACCTCCATTAGCTCTCTGCTAATTAGCCTGTCTCATAGGATGTTAACACTGCAGTAAGAATCTGCCATCTCTGACACTAGACCCGCAGACACACTGGGTCTCCAGGGAGGTCCAGATGCACAGACTCCTTCACCCATCTCACTATACAGAGCAACAAGGCTACAGACAGTGAGACAGGGAAAAGGAAGGCAGTGATGGCCAGATATATGGTAGGTCTCATCATAACTAAGCCACTGAAGGAAAGGGAACTTGTCCAGGAAAGGGGAAGGAGTCAGAGCAAAATCTAAAAGCTTTGTTGGCCGGTAGAAGGCAGATGGGCTCTCTGTACTACCACTAATCTCTGCAAACTTCACCCAGAAATGGAATTGTTGGGTAAAGTTGAGCAAGATGAACAGCAGCCCCCAAACCCAAGGAAATGCTGAGTAGGAATCCAGAAAGGAATCTAGGCTTGTGCAGCTACTAATCAATGACCAGGCATGTCTGAGAGCTCCACAAATGTCCTGCCCTCTTTTTTTTCAGCTGATAGGTCTTGAGTAATCGGAAGTGATCATAAAAAACTTGCCGGTAGCCTATTTTCAGAAGTTCCCAGTGGGCAGTAGGCAGTGTACTTGCTTTATATAATTCCTCAAAGGGTCATTACAAGTATGCAGTTCTTTAATGAAGACAGTCTAAAGACACAATATTCTCTATCCTCACTTTCATGAAAACAAATAATTAACAACATCAATTTGGCCCTTCACCCCAAAGTATATTCCATTTCATTGAGCAATAAGAAGAGAATATTGGAAGATACTTAAGGGGTGATCTTCATCCCCCAAGCATTTTTCTCCACCTAAGTTCAAGGAACTTCTTTAGCATTTTTCATTAGGACTTTTCTCCGGCTTTGAAGGACTCCATATGATGATTCTGAGTCACAGTTTTCATCACAAAAAAACCAGACCTCTGTTGAATCTAGAATCTTTAACAGTCACCATGACCTAAATTGAAACATTCCAACAAAAAATAGCAAACAGTGCCTAAGCACACAGCCTTAGAAGAGCTGAAGAATTCCTAAATCTTGGGTGAATGAGAAAATACAAACCCTTCATCTTTTCATGAACAGTCACAGAGAGTTGTGATCAGAGTGAAAAAGAAGAGAGGAAATAAAATTCTACTGTCACAGTAGAAACCACAGGACTAATGAGTTTAACTCATCCAAAGATGTAGACTTTGACTCCCAAAACCTGCTTCCTCTTGCTCCTTAGGACCGCCAGGAGGGGCAAATCGCTCAGATAATCAAATTAGGATGCCAGGCACGCATGCGTCTCTAGAAAAGCACAGTGGCTATGAGATAAGAGACATGCAAACATTCCACCTTGGCCAAGCCTGGCAATGAAAGGGACTCTTTCTGGCCTGTGAATAGAAATGATTAAGCAAATAAAGGCTTTTGTTGATGGTTTATTTCTCATTGCTGATGCAAATTTAAGGTTGGTTTTCTGTAACATTAATAGAAGAAAAGTGTCTATCTACTACACATGGAAACATTAATTAGGGGGAAAATAAGCAAGAAACAGGAAAGTCGCTGCCAGTCTGTAATTGTAAATGGGGCTTACAAAAGGACATTCCATAAGAAAGAGAATAGGAAAAATATATGTAGGTACTCCAGTGGGGTGGGAGGTAACTTCTGGCTACAGCTTTCCATTCTTCTAAATAACCATGGAGAAAATCCTTTTTTCCATTAGTTCACACATGTATACACATTTTCTTCCAAAATAAGAAAGCAATTTCATCATTTCTCAGGCCTCAAATAAAATTCGTAGATGTTATTTTTCTATTTGGATTCATCTTGGGTGTGGAAGGTGACATTTAAGAGTCTGGTAGAACTTGGTGTGTGTTGAGGGGGCAGAGATTTTATGCTGCAATTTGGTCTGATAAAAAATCAATGAGGTTTCAACTTTTCATTCTTTCCTCCTGCTCAGAATCATCCCAAACCCACAGTCAGTAAAGCCGTGAAATGCCAACGATTCTTTATATTAATTTTACAACAATACTTCAGCAGGATGATTATAATGGCAAAAGAATCTTTGAAAAGGACAACTGCAATATGAACTCTAAAATACGAAAAGAAAATACTCTATAATGCAGTTTCAAAGTCACAGTTAATGTTGATTACCTGCCATGAAAGACCTGTACCATATTTAAAGTATAAAAGCCATCATACATTTTAAATAGCATTCTATTATTTCCCTCACTTCATTCAATAAGACTATAAACTCCTAAAGGACAGGGCTCAATTCATCTACTAATCTTATTACATTCTAGCCCAGGGGTAGACACAGCATATATTCGATAAATGCTTTCTGAGTTAATGAATGAACTTGACCAAGAAGCTAGGCAAAACAGCTTGCTGATTAGATCAAGTGTTGAGAAATCTGATTAGGATGATTTGAATTATATGCCAGGCCTTGCATTTCAGAGATATTCTTTCCTGAAAGGGCCAGAAATCCTTCAAAGCAGCTCTTTAAAGATAAAGGAAAACAGAGGTAGAATTCACTGTTAGGAAGCCTGAGACAGTCAAAATGGCTTTGTGATTGACATTAAAATAGAATCCTATTGTTAAAACACTTGTAAAGTGTTACAATATTATTACACTTGTAATATTTTTTATTGTGTTTATTGAAGGAAACATGCAAGATACACTCTTCATGAAGAGAATTTTTAAAAATCTATGGGCAAATATGTAAATCAGTGGTCACGTAGCCAAGATAGCCTCTAATTATCCATTTTGCAAATTTCTCTCAATTCTCTCTGGTTCTGCTCTGAGTACAGGCTGATATGGCTCCCACATCTCATCCATCCACCTCTTGCCAACTCCCTTTCCAAGTGATACTTGGTGGGAGAAGAGAATGAGGAGCCCGCCTGCTGAGAGGAGGAGCTGCGGAGTATCAGGAGGTCCCTTAGCCAGGAAGTCTCCTAAGATAAGCAACTGACACATGAGAGATTGAAGAACTCACCTCCTTGTTCTAGAAAAGGAACCAGCTGTCTAAAGCGTTACTCTGCTCCTTGGTTTAATTCCCCAGGTACATCAAGGCGGATCTTAATCATTGTGTGTTGGTGTGTTTTTCCCCCAATACGTCCTAAATTGGCACTAACTTTGCTTATACTCAAAGCAGCCCACAATGCTGTCTGGTTGATTTAGACGTGCTGCCTGCAGTGAAAAACTGCCCCAACCCCACTCAAATTCCAAATATCCCGCCAGACATTTAGGCAGGGAAACAAACCTTGGGTAATTCTTTAAGCCTAAATCTTAACCCATATTGCAGATGAACTCAAAGCATTTTTTGACAATTTAATACATATTGACATTTTCAAGA